AATATTGCAGAATATTTATAGTTCGGAGAGCGTCTCCTAGTAGCGGTTTTAGGAAAGTAAGTGGAGTTAACTTCACAGGTTATATATAATTGTATTTCTATAATTGTTTTTGAAATATTTGTTACACAATTATAAATCTTGTTAGACAATTAGAGATATTAACCCTGAGTTGGAACTTTTTTATGAAAATAAGAGATTTATCCCGTCTCAGTTTGTAAAACTGAATAATTGTTTAAACAAACCAGAAGCGCAATGATGCATGTAAATTGTCAAGTTTCTCAAATTAATCGCAGTAAGTGAACATTTTGTTGATAATACAGTGTAACCCGGATATAAGAGACCCGGATATAAGAGACCCGGATATAAGAGAAACCCGGATATAAGAGAGATTATCTCTGGTCCCAAATTAGAGCCTGTGTTAATGTATATAAAATAGACCAAACCCGGATGTAAGAGACTTCTTCTCCGGTCCCGACAACACTCTTATATCCGGGTTACACTGTAATTATAATTGGTTATATATCTAAGATTTATGATTTTGTCTAATTTTATGGCGCACAAAAAGAATTTTGCAATTTTTTTTAATTCCGTATTAATATTATTTTTTATGTCATTTAATAAATGTAAATTTATTTCAAATTTCGTACTGGAGTAAAAAAAAAAGTCTCTTGTATTTTATACGTTTGCTCCATTCATTATACTCATGATAAGAGATTTAATGTTCTCTTTTTTCCTTCGTTAACCAATAAATCGTTTTATTTTTGAAAAAAAAAATCTATTAATTCTTGAATCTAAAGAAATTAAATTAGTGTTCTTTTAAACAAGACTCTATAAGAATTAAATCCTAAATATATTTTTCAACTAATAAAAATCCCACCAGAAGGTTTTTTTGATAAACAATCATTCAGTTAAGTGCCATACAAGCTTGGTCGATCATGTATCTTTTCGATACATGACTGACGAGGCAGTTTTTTCCCGCAGTAGTTTGGAATTTCTTTTTGCGGTAGACTGGTTGCCAACCAAGGCTAAAGAATCCAGTCTGTTCTGCTATTCAACCCATAGCTGGGATATTGGAATTTAATTGAGAACAATGTTTTACAAGTTCACATTCTAGCCTATTTTTCCAATCCTCACTCCAACCGTTTTTGTTATTTTCAAAACCAACTCCCAAAGCATTGTTTCTTATCAGAGATAAGAATATATTTTCTAACCAATGAAAGAGCCAGGGAATTTATATAACGATTTTGGAGGGAAAAGATCCCGATCCATCTGAGACTCCCAAATCTCCATAAATTTGAAGGTTCTTCGCCTATTTGGCAGTGAGAATTCGGCCCACCGTCTGTAAGGTCGGCGATAGGGAGCTTCAGTGAACTTCTGAACCACTTTCAACCAAAGAACTACTCCTTAAAGGGCTGTCGAGGACGAACGTCGGCCTACTATTGAAGACCAGGTTGAAAGCTGCCTCCTTTCACCTACAAGACTATCGTCCTCGACCTACGAACTCACTCAACTGCAGAATTCCTATATGTACCAACATGTTTCTACTCTACAAGAACTGTGAGTGTTTCTAAACCTTAACAAAAATTCTACTCGCTAAAAGAGAGAGTTTGTCCGCTCTAATGTTGCTGTTTTTATTCGCGTTCTGTCGCAATTTTTTAACCTCAACCTCTTGATGCGGGAAAGCCGGGATAAATTTCCCAGCAAGGACGAGAAGAGATGGATCCATACATTTCCCAAGGGTATTTGTGATCAAGTGAATCTAATGAACTCGACTGGAATTCGAACTCGGCCTTCCGAGTTCTCGCTCCAAGACAATATCAAATACCGCCAAAATGCTTGAAGGGCGGAGTGGTAGACCTACCACATGTTATTTTGGGGTCATTTAGAAAATAACTTTAACTCCTGCAAATTTGAGAAAAACATTTTCGCGAGCCAGTGTGAAATTATCTTCTAACTAATGAAAACCTTGCATTCAAAAGGTCCACACCTTGATGCGAAATTAGATTTCGGACTACCCTTACGGATATAAAATAGAAGCATACTGCTTCTCGAGGCTTAAAACAATTTTGAAAGCCAATTTAATGTGTGCATACACAAACGCGCGTGAGAACACGCACACAATGGAAGAGACGACAGCCTGCAGCTGCCGACTAAGCCTTGTCTACGCACACAATAGAAGGGATTAACCAGCAGCCGCCGACTAAGCCTTTGTCTACGAACTGACAAACACATTAGGCTGACCGTCATACATTAAGTCTGTCCATACATTTCACGTCGTCCTAAGAACAGTTAATTATAAAACAAACTTTACTGCAAGGAAAAGTGAACATTTTATTGTCATTGTATATTTCTGAAAAGAATATATGAATGTTATTTCAAATGACGTTCTGTTTCTACTTTTCCTTTAGAAAATAATCTTTTTCATGTTTCATTTAAAAGATGTTTTGTTGTTATTTTTGCTAAAAGATGTTGTAGCGACTGCTACGCTTTCCACGCCCACAATTTATTCGTCTGCGATTGGCTAGTAAATAGATACTGCTTTTCCATAAGACAATTTAGCAATCGCAGTCACCACTTTGAATTTTCCTGCTGTGAACTTGCTCACATGTGTCTTTGTTACAAAATTAGTGATTGGTCGAATTTTAACCAATCAAACATTTTTGTGCTGAATCTATTTTCCCGCGTTGTCGCCTGGAGCCTACCAGCAGCTTTATAAACAAGTGGTTTGTTTCCACAACTTTCAGTAGAGTCCAGCTATTTACACCTGTCTACACAAATCCACGACTTTACTCACAGCGTACACACAAACATAGATTTTTGTATCACATTACACATATTCTTCCTCTCTGTGACTAAGCCAAGTTCATGAACCAGCGCTCTCTTAATTTCTCAAAACAACACACTTTTTAATTAACTGTATTCTATTCTAACACCAGACTCTATTCAACATAGAATCTTGAACATTCTTATTTAAGAGAAATTCTTTTGAACATTCAATCTTATTCAGAACTAGCAGTTGAGCCCGGCGTTGTCCGGGGATGTGACAGTAAGAGATAGATCAAGTATCGACCATCATAAAGACTGAAAAATAAAATTGACAAAGATTATTGTTTAAGGTTGACGAACACGCATGTCTTAATTTTTTTTTTAATTGTTTTTTTTCTTCTTTTTTTTTTTACGAATTGGTCAAACCCAAACTCAAACAAAAACATTGTTTTCAATCGTTATGAGTCTACCAATTGAATAGAATTTTATTATAAACAATTGTCTTGTAAATGGAATTTTTAAAGCATTCTGAATGTAAAAATAAAGAAAAAAGTGTAAAGACAATAATAAACACTACCTGCCGAAAAAAAGTGAAGTTTTGTTGAAATTGTTTTGAAAATGTAGATGGAAATCCGATCCCATATATAAAAACACACACACACACACACACAACCTGGGTTTTATAATAAGTATAACTCGATATGAGTTGTCTCCCTTTCATTAATGCCTCTTAATCGTGTTTTCAAATTGATTTTGTGCAAAAACAATTGTATTTTTCCCATTTTTGGCGCTGTCAAAACCACCACAAGATAATTTTACGTAGTCCTATGAAGTTTTGTTGAAATCGGTTGAAAAATGTAGGATAAACGATCCCATATATAAACGTACACACACACACACACACACACAATCTGCGTTTTATAATAAGTAAAGATACAGTTAAAGGGAAGCAACTTTTTCTCCCTTAATTACTACACAATATTGCATGATTGTTTTTTTGTATGTTATTGTTTCAATATATATTTTATTGTTGATGCACAATTGGAGTCTTGTTTTTTCTTGAATCGTTAAAAATGTATAATAGATAAATGCTCTTAGAAGACGCAATTACAGTTGATAACCTCAACGCATAAAAACCAAGCAGCATTTTTTTACAATGTGTTGTTTGTTGTTAGAGATGTTTGGAATCCTAAAATTTAAATAGCAACAAAAAACTGAGGAGACAGATCCCAACAATTCTGCTTTGTGAAAAGTTTTTCAGAAATATGTGTTTTTTAGTTTACAGTTTAAAACTAAAAACGAAATAGAAGGTTTTGTTTTTTTTAAAACAAAACAAGCATTTTCATCTTTTGAAACTAATGTAATTTTTTAAAGTTAAGCGTGGACTTAACTTTAAAATACAGTCATAAAAATTTGTGTGTAGTAAAAAAATAAAATTTATGATTACTTAACCGGATTTTGAAAAATTACTTTTTTTTTACTTGTTGAATGAAATTATGATGAAAAATAGATTTGATTTGTTTTTTTACAACGGAAGTCTGTTATCTGACAACTCATTTTAAATGTTAAGTGGATATTGATTGAGTTAGCCATATGCGATAAAAAACCCACTTAAATTTACGAGCACCTGAAGTATGAATGAATAAAAAAAAGTCAACTCAAAAGTATATTCCCATCATTAAAACACTGTTTACTTAGTTAGTGTCATATCACAGACAACAGTACATACTACTACTACTACGACGACGACGAAGACGAAGAAGGAGGAGGAGAATAAGAAGAAGAAGAAGAAGAAGAAGAAGAAAAAACTTTTTTCTTGTTTTTTTGAAATTTGAACAGAAGCGGGGGCATGAACTGTAAAGAAAGTACAGACTTTGTGAACAGTTCTTTTTTTAAACAACTCAAGGTACTAACTACTACAATTGAAATTAGGTTTTATTTAGGATTATTAATTCTTTCTTTCTTTCTTTTTTTCTTTCTAGCAAAATTCCCCGAATTTTGTGGTAAGACCTTGTGGCTTTACGCTTAATTACGATAATTACCGAAGAAGTCCGGGCAATGTTTATGAATATTTACTATTGGAAATTTTATTAATTATCAAAATTCAATATTTACATTTAGATAGTTTTTATTTTATTAAAAAAAAAAAAGAAGTGAACAAATAAAAAAAAAATGAGTATCCCTTAGAGATGTCGGTCCTAAATGTTTTAACTGTTTCTTAGCAACCACACAAAATGACGACCGAGTGGATAAACTTGTTGAAGTCTGCTTATAAAACTTGCTTAAATCAAGATGGTGAGTCAATTTCTAATCTGTTTCCACTTAGTTTCCTTCTGTACAACGACTTGGGCGAGTATTGAAGATTTCCTTTTGATTTAACTTGTTTCGCTTCTTTCAAAATGTTTAAATAAGCATGATACTTCCCTCAACTATCTTCGGACTGACCGCTAATGAAAGGGGTATTTTTTTTTTAAATGAAATAGAATTTATTTTTTTCTTTTTGGTGAAGATGTGATAGTAAACTACATTATTTTTCAAGTAGCGAATTTTCTTTTTAACTGAAGGTATTTTAAATTAACTATTAGTATTTGTTATCTTAATTGTATTTGTTCACATGAAGCATTCAGTGAGGATCGAACTCACTATTATTCAATGAACCTAAGCTTGCTAACCATTGCACTATGTCAAAAAAATGTATTTTAAAAATGAAAAAATCTTGATACTTTTATTGTGAAGTAAAGAATACACCACTGTTGACTATGAAATCGTCCAATACTATAAAGAGTTCCATGTTATGAGGTTAGGTGTAGTTGTATTGGAGTCAGGCAGTTTAGTAGTATGTGTGTTTAATAGCGTTTTTCCATAAGTGGCCAAAACGTGGATTTCTACAAGTAAGTATTTTTTTAGCCACACCTCCACGAGGGTTACATATGGCACAAGGCCGGGTTTAACATGGGTTTCCGAGCCCAAAGGCTCGGCTTATGTTTATTTCCTTTTGAAAAGGTCAAAACGGGTTCGGGGCAGTCAAAAACCTGAACGAGGCTCTGACGAAAGCAGAGAGTTAGACTATTACTTACCCGGAGGCAAGATTTCAAAAAGAGAACAATAAAAATAAATTGCCCAAATTTATATTTTTAGGGAGTCAACCCCAGTGAACAATTAGGGAATTAAGGAGGAGCTAACTCCGACAAGATAAACCTGACTCCATGTATGCAGGGTCTACAAGGAATTTTTGCCTGAGCCTACAGGCTCGGAATTGCCCCACGTAAAATCCAGCCTTGTACCACATTCTGCCTTGTGGTTTAGTTTGTTTTGCTTTACGGCATATCAACCTCAATGGGTTATTTAATGCTGACAACATTTTTAGGATAGATACGTATGAATAGAATATGTATTCTTTGGCTTAGATTGGTTTGGTTTAATTTGTTTTACAGCATATCAACCTCAATGGGTTATTTAATGCTGACAAATCTATAGCTGGTCATATTTTTTTCAAAGAATGTATAACTGTTTGTATTGCTGGTATTTTGTATTGCTGATAATAATTTTTCCTTCCTTTTATTGCTGGTAATAATTTTTTTTATTACAAAGTATTTCTGGTATTAAAACCTATTTTTACACAAGTTTGGGTGTTAACTATTTGCCCATAACTGGGATCCTAACAGGTGCTACCACCCTAGGTCAGGGTGGACCTGGGAACACCAGCAATTAAGAAGTAGTTTTGTGCTCCACAAAACCTCCTGCCCAGAGGCCTTGCTGTTGAACATAGTTTATTGTCTTTCCCAGGACACAGATGTAGTTTATTGTCATACCCAGGACGATCTGCCTTGTGGGGAGGTTTGGTAAATACCAGTCATATTGAAGTCAGGCAGTTTGCTGCCAGGCTCATGACACACTTGTTGAACTCACTGCCTTTGGGCAGAGAGGAACCCAGACGAGGTTATGTCTATGGGTAGAATCTTGTCTGGGGAGGTAGACAAACCCAATCCCATGTATATGAAGTCTAAGGGGAATTTTTGCCTGAGCCTATGAGTTTGGAATCACCCTACATCAAAACTGGCCACATCCCTACTAATGGGGAAGATTGGGTAAATACCAGTTGTATTGGAGTCAGTCTTCATACTAACTATACAGACATTACGGCAATAGCCTAAGCATTATATATAGGGAATTCTTTAATAACAATAACCTTTCCATAGGAAGTTATAATAGTTTGTGACAAGCCTACTCAAACACAAGTGCGGGATAAAATTGCAACTTTATAACTGAAGTCATAATAGTTGGTGGCGAGGATCTCTAAATCAAGCACAACATTATAACTGAAATTATAATAGTTGGCAACAAGGAACTCGAACACAAGCATGGAATAAAAATCACATTATAACTGGAGTTATAATAATTGATAACAAGGAACTTGAGCTCAAATGTGGTATAACAAACACCAGATTATAATTGGAATTTTATTACTGGGCAACCAGATTTTCGGAACTCATACCTGTGCAACAGGAGTTACAAGAATTTCAACCATGTTGGTTTAAAAAAAAGCAACAACAACAAAATACCCAACAGCTGCTACAGTTGCAAAAACAACAAGAGTTGTTGAAAGTGGTTTTGAAGAATAACACTTCAATATCTCTTATGCCAGATGTGGTGAAAAAACACTGTGTACAATCCTGATGTTGGATTGGTTTTTGCTGCATATTTTCACAGACATGAAGAAATATTTAGTCAGGAATGCAGTGGCTGGGAAGAAGATAAAAAAAACAAGTTGTTATTAAGAAAAATAGCTCCAATAGAGTACAAAAACTACTGCAATTATATTTTACCAAGAAAACTAGTTGAAATAGGGTTTGATAACACAATACTCATTCTGATAAATTTTTTTAGTGAGAAGTGCTCTCTGTTCCATGCTCATTGGAGGTGCATGAATTCAACCAAAAGAAAGAAGATGCAGATTTTGTCATGTACCATCAACAATGTGAAAACTAAAAAAATTTCAAAGGTTCTCAAAAGGATTAAAAAAATTATTTTTACATAAAAAAATCCTTTGGTTTTTCCTCTTAATGATAGCACAAAGACTTTGTTTTTATTAAATTTTGACTATTTTTTCATCATGTATGTTTATTTTTTAGTGAATCTTTGAAGGTTCTTATAGAAAAGTTAGTAGACTATACTCATAAAAACAAAACAAATCCATGAAGCTGCAATATTAAACTAATGTACCCATGGTGTCAAAATTAACAGCAAGAAGGAATGTGTTTTAAGTAATATGAAGAAGGAAATTCCTGGAAAGTAATTGAAACTCACCTGAAGCGAGCTGAATGTGTAATGCTCCTCATGCTAATGACACTTCCACCGAGCTTCTCTACAGCATATGACTTCACTGAATTTTGATGTGTTCCTCTCGAATTTATATTTAAACTGGGGTCATCAGGAGAGAATGTGCACCGTTTCGGGGCCTTCCTTTAAGAGGAAGGCCCCGAAACGGTGCACATTATATTGTAAGTAATTTTCATTTAATCCAACTACAATTTTGTGATGTAAAATAGTTTGTTGTTAATATTAATAATTGAACAGCATACAATTTATAAACACCTTAGGAAAGATACCTATATTTTATCCTTATTGTGTGTGTACCAGTCTGTGTGCATGCATGCATAGCTTTTGCACACGCACTTTTGTGGCACACCTTGGGTGTTCTTGAGAGCCAAATTTGCTGGGAAATTAGAGATTCATCTCTAGAGATAGGCGATCCCATAATCCAAGACATCTTGAAGAAAAGTAAATTTATGTAAAGTTTAATTCAAGCTGAAATAAAATATAAATCTCAGCAAGTTTTGTCTGACATATATTTATCTTCTCTCTTTATCCCTTGCTATTCCACCCCTCTCTCTCTCTTTCTTTCATTCTTTGAAGGTGTGTATCTGTTTCTTTTAATGGCTACTTTCAGTCACTCTTTTTGCTTTGATCATATGGAAGTTAAAGAAGGAGTTTGCTTTGTAGTTTGTCAGTGTGGTAGCTTTTTGTCGTGAATGGGATCATGACTTCTATCCATCTCATGTCAAAATTTTCCACACTGACCCTCAATTGTTACACACAAAAAGTCTTATATGGCATATTATATTTAAGGATAATTTATCAGAGTATTTGGATATCACAATTCTCAGGAAATATACAAATCTACTGAAAAATTCTCGGCTGCCCCTTGTCTCAAAATAAAATCTGACCAACTGTCAGAATTTTTATTTTCTATTTTTTTGGAAGGGCTTCTTGGCTGAAAACTTTTCAGCACCATTTAATTTCTCTCAGTTTCATATAAAATAATGATAGTGTTTCTCAAAAAGAAAAAAAGCAACAGTTGACTAGGATCTTGTGGGGATAAATTTCTAGAGGATTTGATTTTACAATTAAGTCTCCTGATGAATGGATATAATCTCTCTAAAAAGAAAATAAGTGAACATTTGATTTTATCTATTACTAATATATATATATATATATATATATATATATATATATATATATGATATTGTTAAGTTCAGCATTTCAAATGAATTATGTATTCCAACTATTGATTTCTTTTACCAAAACAGTTGGTCCATATTAATACTTTGAATAATACAAAAATATCAGACAATAGTTTATTCAGTACAGTTATTAAAATAATTTATCATAACATCTTTTCAAACAATTGCATGTTGGTTTCTTAATATTTATCTTTATTGGCCTAAAACCTAAAATATTAAAATGACAAGAACTTCTTCCATTTATAATTATTTTAAATTATTTGATCAAATGAGACTAAAGCTGGTTTGAAAAGACCTTATTCAGTGTGTATCTCGTAACTTATGAGATCAAAACACTTTTAACAAAGAATTTGCTGATAATTCTGTGCTTAACTTCACAAAATTTGGCCTAATGACCAAGCATCAGAAATTTTTTTCTTTTTATTTGGTTGGGTTGATAACTTTTCAGTACCCTTTATTATTAAATAAAAGATTTACTGTCTTGAGCAAAGTGTTTAACACCCAATATATTCTCTCTTGTCTTAAAAGTACTTTTACTCTTTAAAGTTGACTGATTTTTATCATTTTACAGTATATTTTATGCTTAACTAAATTTGGTAAAAGTTAATATTGGTTGTGCCTGTGGTATAATAGTTATTGGGGCAGAAAATGAAGTTAGCAATCCAAGATCAAATTCTGACCAAGTTTGTTAAATTTGCTTTCACATTAGTGCTCTTAGGAAGGCATGGATCCATCTTTTCTCCTCTCAACTATGGGACAAATATCAGGGCAAACTGTACTTTTTAGTCTTGGGCAACATTCAATCCCTAAGGTGGTGGTTCCCAAACTTTTTTTCTCTGGGCTACATTTTCAGAATTGATATGTCCCAGAAAGGGATATATTTGAACGAAGTAGCTAAGTGGTTTTGGCTACTATAATCAAGTAGAATATCAACAGTAATCAACTGGTACGCGTCATAGTTGCAGGTAAGAAGTGTAGATCAATGGCGTAGTCCAATGGGCGTCATTATAGACTTAGCTCTCAGACTAAGGCTCTGACTCTGTTGTACCTTACATGTCCGTCAGTATTTATGACGGACACCAGCCAATCATATTCCAGTGAGGGGAACACAGGTGTATGCATATTCCATTATATCAAGAATGAAAATTAGCTCATACCTTACCAAATTTTATGTGATAAAAAGTACATTTAAAAATTAAAAAAAAAAAATCAGAGAAGATTAAAGGGAGATAACTGTGGATTCAAAGTTAGAACATTATCATTGATAACTCTCTCCTGCAATTTGTGGAGCCTAGTTACTATATTCTTAATATTTAATATAATGCAAACATATCACAATGGTAAAATCAGTTAAAAATTATTTATAACTATTTATACTGGGACTCATGCATGCAATTACATATAATCCATAATAATATTTTAAATGTTGAAATCATTTAATTTTGGCATATGAATTTTTTGAAATTGCTTCTAAATCTTTGATTGTCTTTCAATCATTCCACTTCACCTGCTATCTTCTTCCACTGCATTATGGGGAACCACTTCTCTAAGGATTACTCTGAATTCAAATAATGGAGAAAGCCAATGGGAATCTACTCTGTTGTTCAAGAACAGATCAGGTCATGGATTAAACTTTGCTACTGTCTGTGGGTTGAACTGGAACTTGCAATAATTCTATAGAACTGTCCTGGGTATGATGATAAACTACATCTGCATCCAGGGTAAGACAATAAGCTACGTCCATCAGCAATGCCTCTAATCAAGAGGCTTTGAGGAGTGTGGAACCACCTTTTAATTGCTGGTGTTCCCAGGTCCACCCTGACCCGGGGTGGTAGCACCTGTTAGGGTCCCTGCTATGTAAAAAACTTATTACCAGGAATAAATTTTTGAAGAAGAAAAACTATTCCCAGCAATACTTTTTTGAAAAAAAAAATATTACCAGCAGTACATTTTTTAAAATTATATTATCAGCTATACATTTTTGAGGAAAAAAATATTACCAGAAATAAATTTTTGACAAAGCAAAAATATTACCAGGAAAAAATAGGTGTCAGCATTAAATGACCCATTGAGGTTGATATGCCGTAAAGCAAAAAAAAGAAAGAAAAGCATTTTATCGAAAAAAATTGAATCTTAATAATAAGTCCAGTTTAGTGTATAGTTTCACAACCTTATGAATAACATTGTCAAATTTAAGGAAAACATTTAATTTTCTTTGAAGAAGAAATGAAAACACTTGTTGACATTATACAATTTTGATATTAAAAATGTTTTTCTCAATTTAGCAATCTGTGATTTTAATGTTATTAATTTTACCTCAGGCAGATGCAAAGTACATTATACATTTCCAAACAAAGATGAAATGGCTGAGGAATATTCTTTAGGAAATTACCAATTGATGGGTAAGTATTGAAGTTTTCTTTTAATTAAAGAATGTATTCATTAACCTTGAATTGATTTACACAATTGCTCCAAGGAAGTGGTGAAAAGTTTTTGGCTTAAAGCATTTCCTCAAATTTGACTACCCACCCCCCCCGAAAATTTTTTTCCCTCTGATTTAAATTAAATTAAAATTTAAATAAGGGAATGATTCCTATCCAAAATATAGAAGGAGAAAGCCAGAAGATGGAGGTCACATTGGCAAGATTATAACGAGACAATATGGATGTCAAGTTGAGCCAGAAATCACCAAGCAGTAGGTAGTGCCTTACAATACATATTTGTTGCAACAGTTCAACTGTCAGTATCTGTCTCTATTTTTGAGATGAGGTGTTACACTATTTACATTATTTGGACTATTGTCCTCATCTTTGTCGCTATATTTATTACAACACTTCGGCCATTGTATGCTCCGGTCTTCTTCAGGTGATTAGAATGTCAAACTGAACCATTTATTTCACTCACTGGGGTAGACTGATCTAGTTCCACGTGCCATGTTTAATGGATGTCAGTTATCAGTTATCTCCTGTTATTTCCCCTCTCCAAGTTCTCCACTGCCTTAACCAGGTATTGTCCTCAAGGACACATGGCACAGTGGATAAAGGCATGAGTCAGATCCAGTGACAGGACCCAAAGAGTGTGAGTTCAATACCCGGTTAAGCAGTGGAGAACTTAAAGAGGGAAATTAACAGGAGATAACTGATAACTGACATCCATTAAACATGGCATGTGGAACTAAAACAGTTTACCTCAGTGAGCGAAATAAAGGGTTCAGTTTGATATTGCAACCACCTGAAGAAGGGCAGAGTGTATAATGGCCAAAATGTTGTAATAAATATGGTGACAAAGATGAGGACAATAGTCTGAATAATGTAAATAGAGTTCAACTGTTATATCAATGTTGAAATCTGCTCATCAATTTAGTGAACTTCTCCTAGGGTTTTCAAGATAGACCCCCATAGTCATATATATTCTGAAACTACATTTCCCTGGGTATTTGGATAAGTATATTTTGATCAAAGGGGGTCCCTGAGAGAAAAATCTTTTCACTGAAAATTTTTTTCCCTTAATTATAACAGACCACATTCATGCGTGTTTTTTTTAAAATCGACATCACAACGATCACAGTTACAAATTTGTCTTTGTAATTCACCTCTGAGTATGATCCTGGAGGAAATCAAAAGTACTTGGGTAGGAAAAAAATATGGCGCCTTCCTTGATGAATTTCATCTTAATATCAAAAAACTGATTAGAGAACTGGAAAGGATTATTATAAAATAGACATTATATATATTATATATTATCCAATGAAACATGTTTGAATATATAATATATCTATGATGATTATTGTTTAGTTCCTCTCTTTGTCTTGGACTGTTCTAAATAAATCCATCTCAGCTGAAATCATGAATATCTAAATGTAATTTAATCTCATTTCCTGCTTTTTTTCTCTCTAATAGTTCGCAAATGGCGGAGAAAAACAACCGGTCTTACTGGTGTTGAATCATGGAAGTATGAAGTGGGAGAACCTCTGAACCCAGCTATGGTCCTACAAGCTGAGACACTCAGAGAAAACATCAATAATGTAAGGGAAATATTTTTATGGCAGTGGTGAGAAATTCTTTATACCAAAGAAAAATAAATTGCATAATGTTATCATCTACTTGATATGAAAAGAGGACCCTGTTTTAATCAATATTTTACTTTTTTGTATTTTTTATTTATTTTTTATAATCAATTCACCCCAAGTAAGGTGATAATGCCACTAAGACACAAAAGGGTTACTGGGAGTGAAAGAGAATGAGAAGACTTTAATGAAAAGAAAGTCAATAAAAGAACAAGATTCAGGCAAACAGAAGATGTCAATTGACATTGGATTTATATTTTTGAAGATTGTAGGTGGCAAGGAGGCAAGAAACCAGAAGAGAGTTTCACAAGCAAGAAGTATGAGAAAAAAGAAACTATTAGAAAAGAACTGATGGTTACATCTAATTATTTCAATGGTAAAATGATGTGACCTAGTTACTAATCTAGTAGTGCACTTAAATTCATACAGTCTTGGTACTAAAGAGGAGAGAGCTCATTAGAACAACTGCTATGAAAAATATTTAAAGAAAAGACAGAGGAAAGCCACATTACAGCAGTGTGATAGTGAGTGAAGTTGAAATGTCATGACCAATAACATTATAGACCCTTTCTTTGAATTTTGTCAAGAATCTCTAGACATATGACAAGAACACTGTTATAAATGTGCATATGGTAGCACAAGAAAATAAACACAACAAATACTGCTGGTGAAAGAAGACAAGGATTGTTAAGATAAAATTCTTTGTATTGCCAATTTAAAGGATCAAGGCAAAATGTCTCTTTGTGGGTGAGGGAAGCAACCTGGAGAATGGCAAGAATCAGTAGGGTCTGGAATTGATGCTTGTGTCTTGTTGGTTGGCCGAGGTCACTGGTGATAAGTGACAACCTGCCAGCTGGTTCATAATTGATAACATGTAAATGAAATCAAGATTACTAATGGGTGAGTGAAGAATTTACTAATATTGAAATTTTTATATTAAGAGTGTGGTGGGGTACATGTGTGTATATGAACTAGTTGTCTTTGACTGGATAAGGGATCGACCCAATTCGAATTTACAAAACGGTTCATGTGTGGAACTGTGTGATATGAATCACTTTCATGATAGTTCATTTATAGGCATCTTGGATTGATGAAAATTACTTGAAACATATTATGGTGGTGATACAAGAACCTATTCATCAAGAGTCAGGGATTCTTGACATGGAGGACCCCCCCCCCCCACGCACACTCAAAAGAGGGATTTCGGGGTTTCAGTGGTGGGAAAGAGAAAATATTTTGCTTTTACTTGTTTTTTATTTACAGAATTTTGTTATGTTTTTTTTCTTGAAATATGCTCCAGTTACTTTATTTAATAGTTATGTATCAAAACAAATCATGTATTCAAGTTTAAAACTCCTTCGGCATTTTCTGTTGCTATTAAATTTGTAAAACTTCTCTATAAAAATAACCAATGTACATATACTCAATGGATAAGAATGAAGATTTTCAATAATCCCATCATCAGCATTGTCATTCTGTCTCTTTATTTCCTTTCTCCCCCTTATTTCCTTTCTCCCCCTTGATGGTGGCGGCAGTGGCGGGGATGACTGTGAAGGCTCAGCCTACTACTGAACAGTTGAAAGGTAGTAGGAAGCAAAGGCAAAGAGTGTTTGACAAGGTCATTTGCAAGAATTTGATTTTGGTAGACAACTCTTCACAATAGAGAAACCCACACACTTGGTCAGAAGCACCTCCCTCATGACTCAAAGGGAATTGAGACAGGTGAAATCTGGCAAACGTTGGATGCTTGCTCTGTCAAGGCCTGCCTTGGTTATACCAACCCAACTAGTGCTGCCCTCTTCCACGAGTTTGGCAATTGAGATCATGTAGATCTTTGCCTATTTCACCATTGGTCATGTCCAGTCTGGTCCTTCCTCCCTGACCTTATCACCATGTTTGGCCGACAGGAGTTGGAACTCCAGACATTTTTGCTCTTGGGATCACTGGAGTATGCAAGCTCTCTATCATGACAATGAACAACTAATTTTCAATTATATATGCATATTATTTTGAATGCATCTTTGTGTCAGACAATATTGGAAAAGTCATGGGGGTGAAATGAAATTCTGACATAGGGTGAAAAGGGGCATTGGGCATAAAAAGTTGAAAACGACTGAAGACAGTAGGTATCAGAGAGCAGTGAGATTTGTGAATTTTAAGTTGTTCTTAAGGGAGCAAACTGCCAAGTGTCAGTTTTTAAATTTTTTTAAAACTGCCGAGTGTCAGTTATTAAATTTTTTTAAAACTGCCAAGTGTCAGTTATTAGATTTTTTAAAACTGCCGAGTTTTTTTAAAATTTTTTTAAACTGCAAAGTATCAGTTTTTAAATCTTTTAAAATTTTTCTGTATACAGGATCATGTAGCTGTTTCACCAAAATGAAGACTGATTGGTTAGACCTTTTTTTAAATTTTTTTCCCCCAATAAGTTTAGATTGGTCAGTGATGGTGTTCTGGTTAGTCACTTTGCTTTCATTATTTTCATTTTTTTGGTTTTTCTAATGTTCAAAACTCATTTTGAACTTGTTTGTATCCTACAATTTTTATGTGTTCCCTGTTCTGACCTAGGCTGAAACCTTGTAACTTATCATTGAAGCAGCTCTTACAAAACACAAACTGCTAATTGTTTACCTTCAGTGTTTGTAATTAATGCTAATTAATAAGGTTAATTATTCCCTGAAGTGATCAAGCTGATGACTTGATGTGTCTTGTTAATTATCTCCTTTACCTTCCCAAAGTGTGAGCATGAAAGGAATCACCAAAGAATAAGATTTATTTACAATTATCAGTGAATATCTCTTCTTTGAAATGTAAAATAACTTCTGTTAAAATAGAAAAACACAACAACTTTCTTGTAGAAAGATTACAATTAGTTGTGTAAGTAGAAGATTTTAGTTTCTTCATAGACAAAAGACTTTTGAGAGAAGAAAAAACACACACACCAAAAAAATGTTTCCAGTTGAAAAATGTCTATTTTATGCATCTTGTTTTTATGGCTAGTCCACATCACATTTTTCTGAAGAATTATCTTCACACCACTTGAATTATCAGCTGGCAGCTTTTCCAGTATATGTAAAGTGAGTGGCTATGGTTAAATGTAAACAAATGGTTCAACAAACAGAATTGACAAAGTTTGCAATAACAAGAAAAAAAAAGAACAGAGTAAAAATAGTATAAAAGCAAACAAACAATATATGCAAGGCAAATTAACAGTAATAAGGCAAAAATTTCACAAACTAAGAAGAGCAAATTTTGATAAGCGAATGTAGGGTTCTGACCTCAAGACAAGACAGACCAGGACTAAGTCAGCTGAAACCAAGAACCAGGTTATTTTATTGGCTAGGAAGAAATCCTGGTATTTGTGTGTTTCTGCCTATAAATTTAGGAGGGGAAAGTCTTTTGCAATCATTCCCCATCAAGATTGGGACCACCATGATACTATAAAGGATTTAGATTGTATTATTATTACAATTATTATTCTGTGGTAGCAGAACACCAACAAATTAATGCTGACATACAAATATATAAAGCCCATTAAATCCATCATGACATCCATGCCTGTCACATTAATCACAACCAAATGGGTGCAATATGATAACAGTTTTTGATAAAAGCAGCTCATTTCTTACAGATAGGGCCAAGTTATAAATACATTTAGGTTGGGCAACCCTGCCTGCTCAGATAGTCCCCAATTGACAATGTTTCCAAATATCTCAATGTGACTCCCAAGCCACCTTCTCTACCTCATTTTTCAAACTTAAAAAAAAGAGTGTCACCATTCAGCATTGACCTTAGTGTCCTCTCTCTGTCTCTCATATATATATATATATATATATATATATATATATATATATATATATATAATCTTTTTTATAAGAGAGAGAGAGAGAGAGGGGGCACTGAGATCACATACATATATATTTTGCCTATCATCCATTTCACATGCCTCCCTGGTCTTTTGAACAGAAGTAGAGGTTTATCCCTTGTTTCCTGTTTAGGATTGGATCTCCTGTTTCTTCTAAAGTCTTCTCATTCTCTTTCACCCTCAGTGCCTGCTTGTGTCTTATTGACATTATCACCTTGCTTGGGGTGAACTGATTAAATATATATATATATATATATATATATATATATATATATATATATATATATATGTATATATATATAAAAATAGTTTATCTTGACCACCACAAGTCAAAAAACACATTGTTAATCTGTTCTACAGTGTTGTCTGAAAGTCTTGTTACTCCTACATAATATAATTTTCTATTTCAAGGAGAGAGTTTCATATAAACGATACCAGAATATCCATCAGTTGAAGGACACTGTTTTGAAAGCCTTTGCAACAATCAACAAAGCACAGCTTTGTAAAATATCGTACAGGACACCATTTTGTTCCATGAAAATGATGATGTTCATACAGACATTCTCAGTGTTTGAGAGCATCAATGAAAGTGAATAAACTGAATTCAGTACATGTGCTTTGTATCACTGTATTACTTGTTCTTCTATTCACATTATTACTTTTTGGTAGGGGCGACAAGACTTTCGGACCACCTTGTACTTTACCAAAAAATTTGCTGAGTCCTGAAAGCATGCAAATTGATTTTTCATTTTTTGTGTCTTTGCAGCCAATATTTATGCGCTTAGATAAAAAGGAACATTTCCAGTGGAGAATTCGCAACCTTCCCTATTCTCTCAACACATACGACATAACTGTGGGTGATGATAAGAATCAAATTACTGTCAGAACAACAAACAAAAAGTAATGGATTTTTTCTTTCGTTTTTAAACTTTGATTTATAAAAATCTGTGAATATTCTATGTAAACAGTTTCAGTCATTGGAATTTGCGATTATTTAAATTTTCTCCTCACCACCCTATTCATCCCTACCTGTTGTGATGAAGGCTCAATCAAGAGCCCTCTGCAGAAGCTAGCTTAAATGCCACCCGACAGGTCATCATTTAAGCTAGCTTTAAATAATGTATGAAGGGTTGATAAACTGTAAAAATAAAATCAATCAATATTATAAAAATGTTAAAACTGACTTAATCATTACAAATAATTGGGGACCTCAAAAATTCCTCCTTTTAAAAAAAAAACAAAACAATGTTTTTTATGAATTCTTATGTCCTTTGGGAGACTGCATCTCCAACATCAATATATATATATATATATATATATATATATGAATGCAAAATAGCCAAGGAAATTGTTATTTGTCAACTATCCACATATGCAGTCTGCGATGGGTAAATTGTTGCTATTTTATATTTTTAATTTCGTGCATGTATGTTGTTTGTTTTTGATTTTGTCGACTGCACAACATAATAGGGTCAGTTGGGCACTGTCTGTGAGAAAAAAAGCACCATGGTCCAATTCACTCTTTGGAAACAGCATGCTGTACTGCTTAACATCGCGCCAGAAGCTCCAATACAAACATTTCAGAGTGTTTGGCTGTCAATCTGAGGACAGTGCAGAAAATTCAGAAACAGTTGGATGAGTCTAATGGTGATTATGAAGATACGGCAACTCCGGAAACTCACTCTGATCATTCTGATAAGAAAAGAACTCCTGAATTTGTTGGTGAGGGCCTCAGACTCAATACAGAGGCCTACATAAAATGCCTTGAGGAGGTATTGCTACTCTGGGTCAAGAGGGTAGCTGCTGAAGGACCCTGTGACTGCACTATGCCACACAAGCAGGAGAATCCAGTCATGGCTGCCAGACAATTTCTGCAACTGCAAGATCCTTGATTATTATGTGTAAGTTGCAGTTGAGCAAGAGACCAACAGCAATCCTTGTTATACCAAGATGAACTGAAGGCAAGGGTTATGGCAGCATTCACCAACTTAAACAAAGAGATCATCCAGAAGAGTTGCAGGAGATTCTGAAGCTGACTGAAGGCCATGGTTGAAGCCAATGGTGATTTTATTGAATAAATTTACTCTTTAGTATTTCAAGATATGTTTGTGTAATTTTGGTAAATATATCTGTTAAAATGAGATGTCAATGTTATTTTCATTTTTTAACAATTTAGACAGCTATTCATACCACTTGTGTGTGTTGTATGTGTGTGTGTATATATATATATATATATATATATATATACACACACACACACACACACATATGGTAGATATATAGCAATTAGTGAACAAAAAAATGAAGTGTTCATATGCTTAATGTAAATCATGTTCTGTCATGATATTGTAGATTTAGTTGAAATAAAATCTGTTTTTCTAATGACGCTGTTTAATCAAAAAGATATGTCAACATCAAAGTTTTTCCAAATTGTCATATATTTACCATTCCATCAGATTCTCATCCAAATTTAAATCATGTGCTCACATGCATATATCAAGGCAAATCCAAAGAGGTATTGCTTTGATATACCTGCTGTAACAACAAAATTGTCCAAATCATGTAACAGCATGGGATAATTCTCCATCCCACAAAATGCTTAATATTTAAAATCCCACTAAACTGTTTCTTTTTCACAGGTTTTCAAATAAGACATTATCCATCTTGACACTATTTGTTGCAAGAATCATTGAAAAACTTTTAGTTATTCAGCTAGAAAGAGGACAGGTTAAAATCATTTTGTTTCAGCCCCACTATGTCTTCCCAACTGAACAATGGTGAGAGGAAAAAGTTAATTCAGGCCTTCAGTAATGGTACCAACATTCATACCCTGGCTTCCATCTTAAAAGTTCATTCAAGAACCATCAAGAGAATGGTGAATAAGTTTTAAAAAAAGTAGGGAACAGTAGAGATGAAAACTCAATCAGGAGGTCACAACAGCAAGAGGGATCATCATTTCAACTTAGAGCTAAATACATTCTTATTGTTCAAAGTAGAGTCCAATAGTGTTATAAAAACCTTGGAGAATTCCAATAAGATATCTTTAATCATTTCTAAGGTACAACAGTTCAAAGCTTTATCTAACAATTAGACAATGTTGCTGTTACATGATTTGGACAATTTTGCTGTTATACATGGTATACACACACACACACACACACACACACACACACACACACACACCACACATCTAAATTTCATTGCTTATATAATAATTGTATGGTGTTATGGTTAAAGTGTAAGAAAGAAAGTATGTAATTTCTATTTGTTTTTTACTATTTACTTTCATTGCTCAGTTTTGTTTCTGCTCTATATTTTCATTGCAGGTATTACAAGAAATTCTTCATCCCAGACATGGAACGTTTAGGCCTCAGTTTAGATGACAGCTCACTGGCCTTTAACCATGCAAATGATACACTCATAATATCAGTAAGTATGTTTTTAACTTCAGCTTTTTATTACATTAAATTATCAGCATGCTTAAAATTGATTAAGCCGATTTCAAATTTTCTATTACTCCATCTCTCAAAATTTTGGGGGTCATTTTATTTTTTTATTTTTTTTTTTAATAATTTATTTATTTAATTTTAGAGAGGAAAATCCTTTAATCTGAAAATTTAATATTCCATCACAATAACAATTTTCTTTTTTCCATTTTGTAGTGTGAAATATGTCCTCTATATACAATGATTTATTTAATGAACTGACCATAGTAGTCTTCTGAAGGACAATGGCTTGATAGATATAAACATTGGTTAAATGTTGCAGCTTACTTTTCTTTTCTTTTTTTTTATTTGTATTCATGTTCACCCAGTAAACATACAACATGACTTTCACCCAAGCTTTCCACTGACCAGCCAATGATATATCCCATATTGCATTTTGATTCTCAATCTCATCAGAGTATGCCAAAAGCTGGGAAAGGGCCTGCTGCATGCTCACAAGGTACATGACAAAAGATAAACACAATGTCAAGTGATGATAACACAAATTTTATTTCCCATATTATCAAATAAGTATTTTTATTCAGGGTTTCACTTGTTCGTCTGGGTGGGTAGGTACGTGATACTTGGGACAACTTCTGCTATGTCAGCTCTTCCCCTACCAACTCCTTGCCCATCTACACCTGACATGTATCTGACAATATGAATGGCTGGTGACAGACCAGAACTGACTGTGATCTCAAGCTTGACTGTTAATATATACCAGCACTTGGATATACCCTATTTTGGGTTTTGTTGTCACTTGATCTCCAAAAAACCCTTCATGCTTCTCTGTTCCCCTGCTGTCAAAGTGGATGCTGCTGTGAAAACTATACTTTAAAACAGAAATACTTGAGGTCAAAATAAAACCACATCTTCTTTTTCTACATGGATGTCCATAGTGTCACAACCCAATACAAGGCCCAAAAGCCACATAAAGTAGAGCATTACAATGTATTGTTGTATGTGGGTAAAAGAAGGCAAGAAATGCAGTTCATGAGGGTATGTAGGAAACATGACGGTTAACCCTAGACTTGAAGAGGCCAAGATTGTAGTGATGAAGAGTCTATTTCACAAAGCAGAAGTTCTTCAGAAAAAGTTACCTGAATGGAACTTACTTCTTACTAATGAAAGTGAATGAAGAGGATGAATCCTTGTGCTTGTGGTTGTAAGATGGAAAATAATTCATCACTAACTTGGTGGTTGGGAGTTCAAGTTCTGACAGTGGAATCTATATACTCTTAATTCAGTAGAAATTAAGTAAAAAACTGCACCACAAAAAATAATGAAATATCGCCTTGCATAGTCAGTAGAACAAGAACAGCCTAATCCTGTGAATTGAATAAAGGGTTCAGTTCAAAATTCTGAAAATGTTGCCAAACACATTAGGTCATTATCAGTCATAGGGTTGCTGTGCAGGTGAGCACTTCCCTCTAGATATCTGGCTTGAAAACCATTCATTTATGTCTTGAGTAAGTAGACCTGTTGGAGCCTGTCCTTTCCATGTCAAAGCACAGCCAATGTCTTTGAAGGTTCACCTTGGTCACTTCAGAAACCCCCACATAGTCAGCTTCCAGTAATCAAACTGAGCAGTTGCTTTTTTAGCACAGGCGAAGCGCTTGCCTCACCTGGATCAAGACTAAATCTGCTCCCCCGACCAGCTGCCACATAGTGCAGCTTACAAGCCCATGTTGCCATTTTCCTGTGGAAATATATTTTCACCAGGTAAAAAAATTATCTCTGACTCACTGTCATCATGTTGGGAAAAACACATGACTCGCTGTTTGTGGAATATGTCCACACTAGTGACATAGAAGATAAATCCAGCCTGCTCTGGAATTCTAAATATGGCTTCTCCAGAAACACAGAAGAGCCCTCTGGCAGCTCCAGTTCTTGTTGGAAATTATGACAAGTAATACTCTCTTTTCACCATGTTTTCACACTACTTGTTGTTGTATACATGTGTTATAATTTCTCTGTGCGAGACACATGTAAATGTGTGTGTATAATTTTGTGTATGACTTAGCAGTATAAAACTATCTCTGAGAACAAAGCATGTTTGACATCCCTTTCTTTCAGCTTTTCTGTTCCATCCATGAAATAAGGTGCTATTTTATCATGGCTATAATAATACCCATAATTTAGGAAATTCAAACTAGAAATTATAACTTTCTCACAAAGCTGACCCATTATTTGGTGACTTACCTGATATGATGCAATATTGTAAACCCCCATTAGCTATTGACCAAAACATGACATATTATTAACTCCCATTAACATCCTAGTGGGTGGGGGAGAAAGAAAATGGATCTATTTTACAACAAAATCTCATGAAAATTCATCTAATAATGACATATCAGGCTGCAGACTTATTGATCCACTCTATTTTAGTTATTCATGTTAGAAGCCCACAGCAGAAAAATACCAATTATTATTTATTAAATTTCTTGTCAGTATTGATCTGAATGTTTCTTCATATTTCTGCTACTTAATTCATGCTCTTAATCATTTGATTGAATTTTTTTTTAGTACAAGAAACCTGAGGAAGTACTTGATCTTGAGCGAATGGTGAGGGCTGAACTGAAGAAGGTAAAGGATGATGGGGACATTTGTGAAATCCCTGGCCAGGTTTGTTGTGTAACCTGAAGATTGCCTTTGAGAGAAAATTAACCTCAACTTACCAATGCAAATCTAAATAAAGATAAAAAGACTTTGGAAAAAATCAAACACAGGAAACTGTTCATATTTTGCAGAGAAACTTGGCTGAAGAGAAATTAATCTTGATTATTATCGAATGGCTAGAACACACTCTTGGTAGACACACATGCACACATATATTTAGTGTTCACCAAAGGTTCCCAGCACTCTTTTAAGACAAGAGACTAAATACACAATTGAAAAGCAATTTTCACTGGAATGTTTGCCCCCCCCCATATATATATATATATATATATATATATATATATATATATCTTGTTCATTAAATATGGCAGACAAGTAAGATATAATTCATTTTTTATTTAGTTTTCCAGCATCCTTACATTTTTGTTTTGTAGGAGTAAGAGAGTACAGAAATGTTTCATAATTTTCATTGTCCCAGGTGCTTTTAGACACTTCTTTAGCCATTTTCAAGGGGATTTTGTTTTTGGTGTTGTTAGTTTTTCCTCATGTTTCGACTGTTTAAGTTGTTTTGTATAGGCGCATTTATTCTGAGCCTTCACATTTCTATTTTTAAAATGGCTAAATTGGCTGAAAGTGCTTGGACAATGAAAATTATGGAAAATTTCTATACTCCCTTACTTTTACAAAACAGAAAAACCTTAAGATTCTGGGAAAACTAAATAAAAAATTGATTAAATCTTCCTTGTCTGCCATATTTAATGAAAGATGTTTAAAAAAAAGGTTGCTACACAAATATACGTTAACACATATATATATATATATATATATATATATATATATATATATATATATATATATATATTCTTCCAGTGTCTGTGGATTTGATTCTAGTCTTCATTTTTAAATGTTTTTCCTAATTTCTACTGTTCAGTCTTTTATTCTTGCCAAGGGCTTTTTTTCTGAAAAATAAATATTTAAAGAATTATTTTCCAATGAAATGTGTATATATTTACTTTCATGCCTGCATTTGTATAAACACATTTTTGACAATCGCTGTATGTGTAATAGTTATGTAACACTTATTGTATGAGGACAAGCCTCAAATTGATATTCTTCTATGTGACATGTCCCTTCGGGACGTTAGAGATCACAGCTCTCCACAATTTCCTGTCCTTTGTAGCTCTTAGTAAATTTTGCCTTTTTGCTATCTCTCCAACTCTGTTCTGCCATCCATTTACACCAGCTTGTTAAGTATTTCTTTCTTCTGTACCTCTTGCCTTCAATATGTACTGTGAGTATCAAATTTAATAAGTTTTTACAGAGCTGTGGATATTAAGTGGAAAACTGACATTAGATTTTGAGTGCCCAGCATACGTCCACTAAGCTTGAGAAATTGCGACCTGGTTGAGATGAGTCTTTTGAATATTTGTAGTTGGTTGGCAAGAGTGGAAAAACAATTTGCATCAACATATAAAAAATTTATTTATCTACATCCGTTATTCTCTTTAAATTTTTAAACAATTGGAATAAAGAGAAATGTATTAAAGTTTGTTCCTTTTTTTTGTATGTGAGAAAGAAGTATATTTTTATATTAATTTGACTCATAGGCTTAAAGTCCCTGAAAGCAAATACATTTCAAAGTAGGGTGAATTGATTTGAATTTAATAAAAAGAAGGGTACAATAAAATCATTGACTTAAAATCGTTTCCTTAGATGTCAATTTTCTCATTTCTATAATGCCAACAGAAGTGCATAGACTCTAGCAAAACAATATGTCAGCTGGATTATCTGGCAAACTCTGTGCCTAACTATGCTGTTTGAGTCCTTCTTATAAGATCAGCATCTATATAAATAGGTTCAGATATATGTGTTTATTTAATTTCTTTTTAAAGCTTGTTGAGGATTTGAATCAATCTATAACAAACAAAAAGACAAGAAAAGTTTTTAAAAATATTTTTATTTTCATGTTTTTACAGCTAAATTTTTTCCTGTGTGTATGAGTTAAAGTTCTTGTTTTAAAGTTCCTTGTTTGTAGTTGTTTGTTCAAATGAAAAGAAATGTGATTTCTTTGAATGTTTGTGCAAAAAAGAGAGGCAAGAGAGAAAGTGAAGAGGAAGAGTATAAGTGTAGTTGGTGAGGAAGAGTGTGTATCATGTAACATGGTGAAGAAGATGGGTGACTGAGTAAAAGAATTTCTTTGAAGCAGTGTCGTGAATCTCTTGTATGTTGCTGCTCCTTGTCCTTACTGATTTTGTCCATCTAGAAACTTTACTTAAATACTCTTCAAAGGGAACATGACCTGTTGGTTGGAAAATGTTAAATATCTATTTTCAAAGGTTTAATTTATTAACCAGATGAATGCGCAAATCCTCTTATTAAGAAACCATATTTTGTTATTTGATGATTGACTGTCTTGGTGTTTATTTCTGTCTTTGCTCGACAAGTTGGCTGGAATATTTTTTGTAATGTTGAGCTGATTTTGAATATTAAGTTTTGAGCCAGAAAATGATTTCTTTGATTTATTTTGGTTTCCAGTGTGTTACAATCTCTCAATGAAAACTTCCATGAGGATTTTTTTTATTATCAGGGCTCCAACGGTATGGCTTGTGTAATTTTCAAAATCTTTTAAAAATATTTTCTATGTGAATTATAAATACTAGCTAAAAACTACCCTTAGGGAAGAAAATTAAGCTAGTTTCTAGAATGCCTAAATGGATCCTTTGGCCCCTAAATTGAATTCCGGATTGATTGAAATACTTTATTTGAAAATCATCACTATCATGGATTCTTGGAATCACAAATTATTAGAGGGATTTCCCAAAAGATACCAAATACTTTTATTTTTTAAATTCAAGGATATTTACTGGATTTTTATTGAATCAATAAATAAAGGCATGACATCAAACAATATTTTACTGACTTATAATAAATATCCTAAAGAGATTAATGTTTATCTCTTTCAGTCATTATTAGTATTGTTGGGTTATCAAATCTATATTGGATGATTTTCATAGCATCTGGCTGTGGTGAGCAGATAATTATAGAAACATAAGAAAGAAAATAAAGAAGTTGGAAAAATATAAATTATTTTTTTTATTTTATAGAAAGTCTTGTAGAGTAGCTAGCACCCCTTTTTACTCTACCAGATGGCCTGGCTCATAGCCTTAAATAGTCTGCAATTAAGGACTTCAATAGTTGATTAATATCTAGCTAGCAGCCCTTCAGCACTCTACCAAATTGCCTGGCTCATAGCCTTAAATAGTCTACGATTAAGGACTTCAGCAGTTCTTAATAAGTTGGTACTAAGCTGATTAATATTTGGACTGATCTTACTTTGTTTGGCTATACAGCATTTGATCCTCCTCTATTCCTTACAAGTTGTCTTGTTAATTGTAACTTATTCTTCTATGTTTTTTGTATGTATCCATTAACACTGAATACTGGTGCTGAATAAATATATTAAGCACTCATTCTTCTTTGTGTATCAATCACCTCAATGATACAAAAGAAAGTATACATACTACTAAAGTACAGAAATGTATTACGTGTCTTCTCTTTGACCCTAAAAAGAAAACCTACTGCATGTTAACAAAAAACTTTATTCACAAATCAGGCAAGTCACCTTATAGCAGGCTGCATCTATTGATATCTCAGGAATGTATATTTTCTTCACAGCATCAATTCAAAGACTTTCTTTTAAGAAGGTGCTCTAATGATTGGTCAGTGAGGGTTACATGACCGGCCAAGAGTAGTACATAGTACTTGGGAGAAATGGAAGGAAAGTTAACCCTAACCCTACAACCATAAGCAGGTGTCAATATTTGTTTTATGTGTAGTCAACTCCTTCAATGTTAGTTTGTCACTGACCTCTTCCATTGTCTTATTCTGTCTCACATTGTGTCAAAAGATCCACAGAAAAGTAGGGTTGACAGTGTGGAGAAGGCAGTGTAGGTCAATTCCTGATTATATGCCATATTGGTTTGTTGTGCATTCATTCTCTTTTGTGTATATATTTACTTTCATGCCTGCATTTGTATAAACACATTTTTGACAATCGCTGTATGTGTAATAGTTATGTAACACTTATTGTATGAGGACAAGCCTCATTTTGATATTCTTCTATGTGACATTGTCTCTTTTGTGTTTGTGGAAACTTATTGCCCTTCATTATGGCTTCTAAGCATAGTGTAATCTCTTCTGATTGCATTGTTTCAAAGAAAAGGAAAGCCATCACTATGGAAGTGAAATTAGATATTGAAAAGAGAGAAGCAGTAATGAACATTGGACAGTTGTTTGACTGTTCTTAAAGCATGTACATATGTGTATACATATTGAAATGTTGAACTTACTCTGTTGGTGAATTAAAGAGTGAGTGATATATATAGTTCAGGCCATGTGCCTCTACTGCACAAAGCATTAATTTTAGCATCCTATCTTGATCTCAGCCCGAGGTGAAAGAGAGCTAGTCTTTTGGAATACACAGCACACATTTTCCCAGTTGTTTTTTTTTTTTTTTTTTTACACATAGCCAAAAGTGGAAAAGAGGTTACTGTTATTGATAGGTTTATCAATGCATGCATGTGATGTTTTGTGTTATTGTCATAATGTATTGCAAGAGTGTGTTGAGGTTGTGGGAAACACCTTGCACTCCCAGCAACTACGGGGGTAATAGCCAGAGAGTGAAAAAGAGAAGGAAAGTAACAGAAATAACATTGCGTTAGAAACCACAACAACCTGAACAAAAATGCCCACAGGACCGACTTCACAAGATATTATGTCTTGCTAACTTCTGGTTTTCTCCCTGTTTTTATTGACATGAGGCATCTTACAAAGGCCCAGATCTTAACCAGTTACAGAGAGGCCTGTATCTAGTCATGCCAAACTGTCCTGCTGCTAATGGGAAAAACATGGATGTAACTTGTGTTGGCAAACATGTCTGTATGCAATCCAAGGCTTATACTGATGCGTGTTCTCCACACTTGTTCCTGATCACAGATATGACAGCTTGGAGTGGGCCTCTTTTA